GTGTTGTGTAATGCATTGGGTAATGCTTGTGTGGGTTGTGCGGGTTTGTAGGATATGATTGAAGGCATGTACCCAAAAAGGAGTGGATGGTGTAAAGGCCTGTGATATAGTCTTAGCAAGACGTATTTCCATTTCAATTTTGATAATGGGGAGGTTAATTCCCCCATTGAGTGGAGAGAGGGAGGAGGTGTCCATGTTTGGATGTGTATGTCTGCCTTTCCAAACAAATTGATTAACGAGTGTTTGTAGTTGGCTAATGATGTTCTGTGGAGGGGGGGAGACAGAGGCATGGTATCCAAATAATGATAGGATAAAGGTTTTAAGTACAAGGATTCTTCCACGGAGGGTGAGATTGCGTTCTGTAAGAGAGGCTGCTCTGGATTTGGCCTTTTGAAGGAGTGTGTTCCATAGTGCAGCTGAGTTTTCAGGAGTGATTGGGAGGAGGACTCCCAAGGTGGAGAGGGGAAGTGATGCAGGAGGAGGGTAGGGGAGTAGTATGTGGATGTGGGGGAGAGAGGGAAGAAAGATGTCTTTTTCCAATTTATCTTTCCATTGGCAGCTATAAAATGTCTGTCTAACCATAGTTGGAGGGTGGACCAATCATACAGTCCAGTGCCTCCAATGTAGGTGTCATCAGCATAGGCTCTGAGGACAAAGGTTTTATGGTTAATTGTTATGCCATTCATATTGGCTCTAAGAGCATTGAAAAGGGGCTCAATTGATAGGTTGAAAAGGAGTGGAGTTAGGGGGTCCCCTTGGGGGACTCCTTGTTGGATTGGAAAAGGGGGTCCTATATTGCCATTGATGAAAAGGGATGTCTGTCTGTGGTGGTATATGGAATGGATAAGTTTAATGGTTCGTGGTTGAAGTTGAAAGCGATGAAGTATATGGTTGATCCAGGCATGTGACACTCTGTCATATGCTTTAGACCAATCAAGTGAGAGGAGGAACGAGTTGGAGGGGGTTTGACATTTGAAAAAGGGAGTTTATATCAAGGATCGTATTGGTGATTTGGCGCTTGGCCATAATAATAAAACCAGTTTGATCCAGATGTATAAAGGAATGTTCAAGGTTAATGTCCTGGAGTCGTTTAGCAAGGATTGTTGAAAGGATTTTAAGGTCAGTATTAGAGAGAGTGATGGGTCTTAAGTTGGATAAGATTGTGCAGTCTTGGTTTTTCTTCGGAATAAGGATGGTATGTGTTTCATTCCATGAAGGTGGTGGTGTTTGGCCTGCAGCTATGAGGTTGAAGATATTTGCAAGAATGGGGGCAAGGATCAGACTGTAGTGCTTATAGAAGGCATAAGTGAAGCCATCTGGTCCAGGGGAGGAGTAGGGTTGTTTGGTGTTGAGGGTTGAAAGAATGTGAGCAGGGTGGATGTCAGCAGCCATGGCCATGGAGTCTTCATGAGCAAGGGAGGGGATATAGTTGGAAAGAGGAGTGGTAAAGAGGGGAGAGAAAAGGGACCATTGGTCCTTGAAGTGTTTGGTGCTAATGGATATGATCTCTTCCAGGTCAGATGTTAAGGAATTGTCATCTGTATCAGATGTAGATGGTTGTGGTGGGGGGGATTATGTACATATGTGTAGAAGGGTGAGGGGGGTGGAGAGGGAGTGTATGGAGAGTGGAGAGGTGGTATCTGGAGAGATGATATAGTTGTTTTGTGACAGATGTGGTGGAATTGTTTCATAAAGTATCGGGTGGACTGTTCTCCCTCTTCTTGCCACTTTGTCCTAGATCGGATGGCCATGGCTTCTGAGTGGGCTTTTTCAAGCTCCCTGAGTTTGTTGGTGACCAGGGCAATGGCAGTTGTGTTGGGGGGTTGGGCTTTCTGGAGTTTATTCAATCGATTGGTGAGATTGCGGATGCCTTCTTGTCTTTTAGATTTGGTGATCTTTCCTGCCTGTTTACAGTATGCTTTAATGCTGTCTTTAATGTCATCCCATTGGTAGGCAAATTTGAGGGGGGGGTGTGAGAGAATGATCTGTTCAATTTCTTGGGTGTGTTTTTGGGATTTCAAGAGATTGGCATTAAAGTGCCAGATGGGGGACTTGTTTGTATTTCTTCTGGCATCTGAGAGCAGGAGTGCACGATGGTCTGAGTCAGTACCCATATTGTGAGTGGTGAGGGATAGAGAAGAGAAGATGGTGGGGGATGTAAAGATAAAGTCAATTCTGGATTTGGACCAGTTATTTTCCCTTTGATGATAGGAAGTGAAGGCTGGTTTGGCACATGCTGCCCCAGCATCAATGAGATTGGAGAGGTGGGGAAGGATATATGGGCCAAGTGGGGTCCTGTGGTATCCTGTGGAGGATATATGGTCTGTTGAGGTAAGGACTGCATTGAAATCGCCACCTACAATATTGAGTGAAGGGGGAAGAGAAGGAAAAGAGGTCCAGAAGGGGTACTGAGCCCCATAGTCAGCAGGTGCATACACATTTCTGATATTTATTTGGGGAGAGTGTGGGGGTGTAATGTTTATGTCGATGATTCTATGGTCATTTGATTCATAGCTTAAAGAAGATGTGATTGATGGAGATATGAGTGTGGCTACATAGGGGGTGGCATAGATGTCACCTTTCCATATAGATGTCCATGTCTTGATTTTGAATTTGAGATTGTCGGGTGAGATGCCATAGCTAAAGATTTCCTGTAGGAGTATGATGTCAGGAGAGAGGGGGGAGAGTTTAGTGATTATACGTTTGAATTTATTAAAGTCACTGAGACCGTTTGCATTAAGAGATATGATTTTCATGTAATATTGAGGGTTGATGATAGGGGAACCTGTTTATTGAGAGATGTTAGTATTGTCTTGAGTATTGCTTTTTGAGAATAGGGAGCGCATACTAGAGAGTCTTGATTGGCTTTGGGAACTTTGCGGGGAGCTTTCATATGGCCTTTTTCCAAGATGCGATGTGCCAGCTTGGGATTTAGTGTTAGCATTTGTGTCTGTATCTTCAGTATCAGGGGTCCCTTCTACCAGGAAAGGGCTACCTTTATCATAGAGGGGTTTCTGGGAGTTGTCTTCATAGTCAGACATTTGGATGTCTTCTGGTTGGTTGGTCAGGGTGCTCTGATCCTCTTGCTGGGCTTCCTGGGTTGGGGTGGATGTTTGTTGTGCTGTCTCAGTGGAGTCTGTCTGAGTGGATGGGGGTAGTGGAACAGGGGTAGGTTGTGCCACTGCCTTTGCATATGTTTTCTTGTTGTTTGG